GCTCCCATGTGGACACAAGATGGCCAGCAGGGAAGGGCAGTTGGGAGGGACCAGGGAGGGCAGTTGTGTCCAATCAGGCAAGCAGGGGAGGGCAGTTGGGAGGCACCAGGCCTGCAAGGGAGGGCAGTTGAGAGGGACCAGGCTTTCAAGGGAGGACAATTGGGAGCCATCAACCCTGCAGGGGAGGGCAGTTAGGGGTGACCAGGCTGACAGAGGAGAGAAGTTGGGGGCAAACAGGCTGGCAGGGGAGAAGTTAGACATCAATCAGGCTGGCAGGGGAGTGGTTAGGGGGTAATCAGGCAGAAGCAGTTAGGGGCAATCAGGAAGGCAGGCAGGCCAGCAGTTGGGAGTCAGCAGTTCTGGATTATGAGAGGGATGTCATCTCTCAAGGGGTCCCAGATTGGAGAGGGTGCAGACTGGGCTGAGGGACACCCCCTACCCCCATCACCATGCATGAATTTCACTCACCGGGTCTCTAGTTTTATAAGTGGACTCATACAATTTTTGTCCTTTTGTCTCTGGCTTATTTCACTTAGCACAATGTTTTTAGGATCTGTTCATTTTTGGAACTTGTATCAGAACTTTATTCCTTTTTATGGCTGAATATTATTCTATTGTATGTATATACCACAATTTGTTTATCCATTTATATGTTGGTAGAAATGTAGGTTGTTTTCACCTTTTGACTTTTAAATAATGCTGCAATGAATTTAAGAATGTAAATATTGTTTTTAGGAGTGGGGTAGTGCTGAGTCTTAGGGTAATTTTATGTTTAACTTTTTGAGGAACCATCAAACTTTTACCTAGAGTGGCTGGATCATTATATCCCTTACAGCAAAGTGTGTGGCTTCTAATTTTGCCATATCCTCTCCAATACTTGTTATTTTCCCCTCCCCTCCCCTCCCCTCCTCTCCCCTCTTTTTCCCTTCCCTCCCCTCCTTATAACCTCCTTATAGCTCATTGTATAACTCTGTTTGGATGATTGTAGCCTTGTACTAAATTTTGAAATTGGGAACTGTGAGTCCTCCAACTTTATTCTCTTTTCAAGATTGTTTTGACACTTGAGGGTTTCTTGCAACTCCATGTGAAATTGAGGATCAGCTTTTCTATTTCTGCAAAAAAGGCTGTTAGAATTTTGTTAGGGATTGCAATGAATCTGTAGATGACATCTTAGAAATTTCAAGTATCTCTAAATTGCTGTTCTGAGATCAATTCCAGTGTGGGCAGGGGTTTTCTCTGCATGAACAAGCAATTCTTTGGCACCATCTACCCAGAGATGGCATCGAATTCCACAGGTTGAGGTGTCAGTCCTGTAAGACTGCCCGCACTTCCCACTTCAGACATCAGTCTCATGCTTAGAGGTTCTAATGACCCCATCCCCCCTCCTTAGACTTTAGTTGCCAGTCATAAGTCCAGGTTGTTTCCTGTACTTCCTAGCAACTGGCCATAAATCAGAGGTTCCCATGACTCTGCCTAATGTTCGTTTAGTTTGTTAGAGTGGATCACAGAACTCAGAGAAACACTTAACTTACTAAATAGGGGTTTAACGTAAAAGGAACAGCCAGAGGAGGAGAAGCATGGGGCAAGATGTGGGGTAGGGGCACGGAGCTTCTGTGTTCTCTCCAGCCGTGGTGCTACTCTCCTCTGGTCCCCACACGTCCACCAGCGCAGATTGTTTTTTGACAGGATTGATTAAATCATTACCTGTAGGCCATGGATCCAGCCTCCAGCCCTGCTTCCCTCCCCTAAATTCAGGGGGGTGGGACTGAAAGTTCAAAACTTTTAATCACTAGGTTGGCTCCTTTGTCCATCAGCCCCTATTCTTAGGTGTTTAAAAAATCCTCATTAACATAAGAACTTTATTACTCTCATCATTTAGGGAATTCCAAGGGTTTTAGGAGCTCTGTGTCAGAAAGAGGGAGGACGACCAAATAATTATTTCCTATTATTAATCCCAATATCGCACTTCCTCTGTATGAACATGGGATATCATTCCATTTTCAAATCTTTATCCCTTTCAGTAATGTTTTATAGTTTTCAGTATACAAATCATTCACTTCCTTGGTTAAATTAATTCCTAAGTATATTGTGGTTTTCGATGCTATTGTAAATGCAATTGCTTTCTTAATTTCTTTCTTGGATTGTTGATTGCCATTTTATAAAAACACAACTATTTTATGTTGATGATACCACAAAAAATGAAAATTATTAGAAATAAATTTTAACAAGAGCCGTGCAAGACATGTATATTGAAAACTACCAAACATTGCTGAAAGTTAGGAAGGCCTTAATAATAGATTTGCAGCGTTCATGAATTGGAAGAATCAATATTATGATGTTATTTCCCCCCTAATTGACCTATTGCAATCCTAATTAAAATCCTAGTAGACTTATTTTTCATAGAAATTGACTAGCTGGTTTAAAATTTATGTGGAAATATAAATGCTACATTAGATAAAAGAGTTTGGAAAAAGAAGAACAAAGTTTGAGGAATAAAGGACCTGGTTTCAAAACATATAAAGCTACACTAGTTGAGCTAGTGTGTTGTTAGCAGGAAGAAGGGCCTGTTTATCAGTGCAGCGCACTGGGGAGAATAGAAATAGCTCTGTATCTATAAATAATTGGTTTTGACAGTGGTGCCAAGGCAGCTCAGTGAGGAAAGGATAACCTTTTCAAATACTGGTGCTGGATCGATTGGCTAGCCATCTGTCTGTCATACAGTGAACCTAGTCCTTATTTTTCACCATAGAAAGAAGTTAACCTCAAATGGATTACATACCTTAACATAAGAATTAAAACTATAAAATTTCTCTAAGAAAATATAGAAGATTACAGTAAAGTTTCCTTGAAAAGGGCCCAGAAAGCACAAATAAAAATTGATGACTTTGATAAGATGCTCAACATCACTAATTATTAGGGAAATGCAAATAAGAAAAAGTGAGCTATCACCTCAGAATGGTCATTATCAAAAAGTCAAAAGATAAATGTTGGTGAGGATGTAGAAGCAAAGGGAACCATGTGCATTGTTGGTGGGAATGTAAATTGATACAGTTATTATGAAAAACAGTATGAAGTTTTCTCAAACAATTAAAAAATAGAACTACCATAATACTCAGCAATACCACTCCTCAGTATATATCCAAAAGAAATAAAACCAGAATCTTGGAGAGGTATCTACATTCCCATGTTTACTGTAGCATTATTCACAGGGCCAAAATATGGAAACAATCTAAGTGTCTGTTGACAGATGAATAGTAAAGAAAAATCTGGTGTGTGCACATACATAAACTCACACACACACACACACACACACACACACACACTCACTCACACACACACACACACACACACGAATATTATTCAGCCTTAAAAAAGAAATCCTGCCACTTAAAACAATATGGATGAACCTTGAATACATTATACTAAGTAAAACATATTTGTGGAATCTTAAAAAAAGAAAGAAAAGTTGAACTAAGAGAATAGAATGGTGTTGCCAGAGGCTGGGGGATAGGGGAAAAATTTTTCAGTTATAAGATGAGTAAGTTTTGGAGATCTAATATATAGCATGGTGACTACAATTAATAGTGATAATATATAAATATGATGAGAAAGTAGATTTTCAATGTCCTTCCGACCAAAAGGGGGAAAAAAGGCACAATGTGAGAAGATGGATATGTTAGTTAACTTGATTGTGGTGATTATTTCACAACGTATACATAAGTCAAAACATGTTGTTCACCTTAAATTTTTATTTCTCAGTCATATCTCAATAAGGCTGGAAGAAAAATGATTTTGATTTAAGTAAAATAAAAAATTACTCTTCAAAAGAAATTGTTATGAAAATGAAAAGGCAAGATAAAAACTGGTAGAAAATATTTGCAGTACATATACCCAACCAAAACTACTTATCCAGAATATATAATCAACTTTTGCAAGTGAATAATGAGATTACCTAAGTAAAACAAAGATAAAATTTTGAACAGACTCTACACCAAAGAATATACACAGATAGCAGATAAGTAAATTAAAGATCTCCAGCATCTTTGGTTATTAGAAAAATACAAATGAAAATTATGAGACATCCTTTAGAATGAAAAATTAAAAAGACTTATAATACCTAGGCCTAAGGTGGATGAAGAGCAAATCGACCTCTCATATATTACTCATGGGAATAGAAAATGTTACAGCCACTTTGGAAAACAATTTCTTATAAAATTAAACATACGTTTAATCATGTTGCCCAGCCATTCTACTCCAAACTATTTTCTCAAGAGTTATGAAGACATGTCTGCAAAAATGTCCAGAGCAGCTTTATTCATGATAGCCAAAAACTGGGAGCAACCCAGATATCCATCAACTTGTAAATGCACGAACAGTTTGTGGTATATACATAAAATGTGATCCATCAGTAATAAAAAGGGACAAACTATCATTATGTGCACCAGCATGGATAACTTATAAAATCTTGGTTAAAATTTCTTAGGAATTCTAGAAAAGGCACAATTATAGTGACAGAAAAGCCATTATTGCTAGAATCAGTGTGGGGAATTGACTGCAAATGTCAGGAGGAAACATTTTGGGTATTAAATGCTATGTAGCATATTTTGGTGATTGTTTACCTAATTATATCCATTTTGCTGATTTCATTGGTTAATTTTATTTATTATAAATGAGTCTACAGTGAAGTTAAACATAAAAAAACCCCAAAATTTAAAAATGATGAAACTTACTGTAAGCCATAGAAAAATTAGAAAGAATAACAAGTTTCTTCTATTTCTGGACTTTCACAAATAAGGGCCTGCATACTTTGGCAGGAAAATTGGAAGGCCGTCAATAAGAAGGTAGATATCTAGCTTTACTGACCAGTTGAAGATAACAAAAAATATATTTGGAAAAGAATAGTAATTTTGCTTATTAAAAAGAAAGTTGTACTATATTTAATAAGTCACATGTTAATTTCTTATCTTTTTATTAACTATTATTATTTTAATTCACTTTAGAAATATAAACCTGGTCGATGTGATGATATTTTAAAATGGAAACCTCCCAGTCTGAATTCTGTGGATTTTCGCCTAAAGATAACAAGAATGGGAGGAGAAGGGTAAATATGCACCTTTGTTCCCCCACCATTTTTATGTGAACTAATACTATTTGTTGCAGGCTTTGTTGTTTACTTAATATTTTATACATACTTTACAAAAAATTAAAATAATATATTTTACAATATCTTTTATACATATGTATACATCTATCTCATTTTCACAGATTACTTTTTTAACCTATTACAGCTAACATTTTGTAGCATCCTTTTAACTCTACTAAGTTTAGTCTTAAAACATAGTTATTTCTAAAATAAAAAATTAACTTTGTAAAAGTGAAAATAGATTTTATTTGACAGTAATCTTGCCAAGTGAATTATAAATAAGATATGATCATTATTATAATTAAATATTTTGAAATAGTCTTTTTTACTTTGAAGAAACTACCTTATATTTGCATTTGCATAGCAAATATTTATCCATGCTTTATCAGGGTAAAGTTTTAATTGTTGAATTTTATTAAGATTTTTCATAATGTTAATTTTAATTCATTTATTGGTTAATCTTTTTAAAGTGAATTTATTGTTTTATTTCACCTTGTTCCTAAAATTTTATTGTGTATTATGAAAGTAAATACATAATAGCAACATAAGAAGTGTTTAATCAAGGAAATCATAAAGAGAAAGTAAGATGACACTGGCAGAGAGATTAAAAGTTTACCCATGCATGCTCTGAAATCCTTTTTACTTGCCAAAGGTAAACCATAGGTTTGCTTTTTGTCGCTAATGGAATGAAGGATATGTGATCAGTTATATGAATCCAAACTCCAGAAGATTGTCTGGAATTTGAATTCATATTTAGTGACTGTATTTTTAAATAAAGAATACTCTCTCACTCTCTGTCCCAGGCCAGCAGAGGACGGAAATTGGGGGCGACTGGGCCTGCAGGGAAGGGCAGTTGGGGGTGGGGGGAGGGATCCAGGCCTGTAGGGGAGGGCAGTTAGGGGCAAATGGGCTGGCAGGGGAATAGTTTGGTGTTAATCAGGCCGGCAGAGGAGTGGTTAGGGGATGATCATGCTGGCAGGTGGTGATGGGCAATCAGGAAGGCAGACAGGCGAGCAGTTGGGAGCCAACAGTCCTGGATTATGAGAGGGATGTCTGTCTTCCCATTTAGGATCTGGCCTAAATGGTCAGTTGGACATCCCTCGAGGGGTCCCAGATTGGAGAGGGTGCAGGCTGGGCTGAGGGACATTCCCCCACCCCCCGTGCACGAATTTAGTGTACCAGGCCTCTAGTAATATTAATATTTTTCCTACAATTGTCCATTGCTATTAAGTATAGTAAAATGTAATTCAGTTTACTAGTTTGGCATCTAGCTTTGCTTTTATTCTTAGAATGTTTTTTTTAAATATATTTTGTTCTTTGGAAATAAGACTTTAAGTAAAATCTTATTTCCAAAGGCTATTGGACTCAGAAATGGGTCCCTTAATTTGTGTAGATTTTTATTTCTCATCTTCTGTCTTAACATATGTTTTACTAAGACATTTAACAGCTTTATACATCCTCCTAATCACTTCCAGTAAGCCTGAGTCTAAAGTCATCAGCATTATAGGTCAGTCTTTTATTCTGTGTAATATCAAAGTGACCACTATCTCTGAACATATAAAAAAGACAGATAATAAGAAGTGGTAAGGATATGAAGAAATTGGAGCCTTCAGCCACTCTGGTAGTTCTTCAGATTGTTACAGATAGGCTTACCATGTGACTAAGCAATTCTACTCTCAGGTAAATACCCAAGAGAAATGAAAACATATATCCACAGAAAAGTGTATACTTGGTTCTTCCTATCAACATTTTTCATAATAGCCACAGTTGGAAACAACCCAAATATCCACCAACTGACAAATGAATAAACATGTAAACAACAAAAAAAAAACCACACACACAAAAAAAACACATGTAAACAAAACAGCTCTTTTATTCACCAGATGAATGTATTGGATCCTATTACGCAAAGGGGTTCTGGAATTTTATAATTTGGATTTTAGTTCTAGATCTGCCACCCTTGACTTAGGTTACTTAATCTCTTTGTTGCTTCTTTCTACAACTGTTTAATGTGGATAATCGAAGTGCATACCTCTTGTAGGAATTTAATGAGAATATATAAAACATTTAGAGCACTGCATGTTGCATAACAACTACATATTAATTATTAAGAAAAAATGACCACTGTCTTTGTGGATTATAGTGGGGCAGAGAGTGGGAGAGTTGATGTTGAGAGTGTAAATTGGTGCAGGTATACAGCTATGAGGTATACTATGAATCATACCAGTCAAAGGCAACTATCTTCTGACAATATCCCAGGTTTGTATAGAAACAAAAGTATTTGCCATCTTGTAGTTGTGTGTAAGATTTCAGGCTATGTTGACTTGCTTCATTAAAAGTGAAGCACATCTGAAACAGCAGCTATAAATTGATCTCATAACCTGATTAAATTTGTGATAATTCATAATCATTCTTCATGATCTCCCACTTTCTATATAGGCTAAACAGATAAATTGAATGGATGTGTGTTCAGTATGCTCACCCTGGTATCTATTTAAGTCTATGATGGTGGCATTAATCTTTGCACCTTTCTTGGGGTGGGGATGTATTATTACTTTTGCTTACATCCTTGGCAGGGAGAACAAGCTAGGAGCTTTCACTTGGCCTTTCCTAGCAAAATGATGCCTACTCCATAGTGCAGATATTCTCCCAGTTGCCAAGTATTTCTCCTCCAGTTATACATTCAGGAACCGGAAAATAACCACAGATTATAGCCATGAACATACTATCCCACTTAGTTTTAACACCCTCAACTCTTTGATAGATCATGCTGGCATTTTGGGTCCTTGGTAATTAGTGTCTGTTTAAAGTTAGTATCTAGTAATCTCTGGTCAGTCTGAGTAGTCTCTTATTCCAGGGCACCGTCACTAGCAAATGCTGATAGTCCTTTGAAGAACAATTGGAGGGAGATTATAGCACATTTTTGGCATGAAAGGACAAATAGTAATTATTAGGGCTTGTTGGCCATATAGTCTTTGTCTGAACTACTATACTCCACCAATCTAGTGCAAAAATGTATATAGATAATATGTCAATATTATCTATATACATTTATATAGATAATACAGAAGTGTCAGATCAGATATGGTCTGTGGGCTAGAGTTTGCTAACAGCAAATTTATACAATAACTAGAGGCCCAGTACACGAAATTTGTGCACGGAGAGGGTATATGCCCCTCAGTCCAGCCTGCACCCTCTCTAATGTGGGATCCCTCTCACAGTACAGGACTGCTGGCTCCCAACTGCTCGCCTGCCTTCCTTCCTGATTGCTCCTAACCATTTCTGCCTGCCAGCCTGATCACCCATTAACCACACCCCTCCCAGCCTGATTGCCCCTAACTGCCCTCCCCTGCTGGCCTGGTCACCCCTAACTTCCCTCCCCTGCTGGCCTGTCCCCCCCAATTGCCCTCCCTGCAGACCTGGTCACCCCTAACTGCCCTCCCCTGCAGGCTTGATCACCCCCAAATGCCCTCCCTTGCAGGCATGGTCCCTTTCAACTGCCCTCCCCTGCTGGCCATCTTATGGCGCCTATCTTGTGTCCACATGGGGGAAGCTATCTTTGACCACATAGGGGCAGCCATCTTATGTGTTGGAGTGACAGTCAATCTGCATATCACTCTTTTATTAGATAGGATAGAGGCCTGGTGCACAGGTGGGGGCCAGCTGGTTTGCTCTGAAGGGTGTCCTGGATCAGGGTGTGGGTTCCCTTGGGGCATGGGATGGCCTGGACGAGGGGCCTGTGGTGGTTTGCAGGCCGGCCTTGCCCCCCAGCAACCCAAGATGAGGCCCTGGTTTCTAGGATTTTTTAATCTTCTGTAATGGAAATTTTGTAGCCTTGAGTGGAGGCCAGGGCAGGCCAGGAACTTGGCTTCCTCCATCGCCGGAGAAACCCAAGACTCCTGCTTGCTCTGCGGCTGCAGGCATTTTTGTTGGGATTTATTTACTTTTATAATTGAAACTTTATAGCTTTGAGCAGAGGCCTGGGCCGGCCAGGGTGTGCAGGAAGCTTGGCTTCCTCCATTGCCAGGTAAACCCAAACTTCCTGTATGCTCTGTAGCCAAAGCCATCTTGGTTGGGTTAATTTGCACACTTGCTCCTGATTGGCTGGTGAGTGTGGCTTGTTGGTATAGCAGAGGTATGGTCAATTTGCATATTACTCTTTTATTAGATAGGATCCTTGTTTATACTTGTGGTAGTGTTTCAAGGTCCTTTTTCAAGGGGACTTGGCCTCTTTTCCTTCTGTTAAGAGGCTTAGGTCTTAACAAGATTAGGTCTATGCACTTGAAGTTGAGAAATGCTAGTTTAATAGTAAGCATGATGAAATAAGTAGAATCTATTACATAATTTTACTTTATCTTCTATTGAAAATATATGAAAAGTCCTCTTACTCTGCTGACTAGTGTATTTTTTTTCTTTTGCTCAGATTTATTTAAAAAATATAATGGTGAGTTCTATTTCTCATGCTTATTTGGACTGGTGTTATTATTTTTAAGAAAGAAATTGTAGTGGTAAAATATCTTGAGTGTTGAAAAAAATGTTCTTGCATAAGAATAGATTGAATCAGCAAGAATATAGCTAATAAAAACTTCATGAGGGAAAAGTCTTCTCTGAGCAAAGCCTTTTTCTTTTTTTCTCCCTCTTTCTCTATTCTGGAATGAAATGTTTGACTTTTATTTACATTTTATTAAAATTTATTTTAAATAAGTGAAACTAGAGATCAAACACCAATGAAACCGGTATTACTAGTATGTAGTATACCTAATGACTAAGCTGTTTGGCTATAGCTGGAGCTTTAACAGTGGCTATTTTCATCTTTTAGCAACTGGCCCAGAGTAACTGCTTTGATTATCTTACTTGAAGATATTCTCATCATCCAAACATATTTTAAGATAAATGCTTCCCCAGACCATTTACCAAAAATAAATACCATAGTCAAAGCATCTGAGCGAGTAGTAGGA